CCTGGTTTTCACTAGAGGTGGATAAGGCCTGGGCTCCTTGGGCCTTCTCAAAAGGCGATCCCAAGAAGGTTATAGCTGCGCTAGAACTGCTAGCGACCCTCGTGGGGATACGTCTCTGGGTCCCCGAGGGCGAGGATAGAAAGACCTCGCGAGTAGCCATCCGGGGATATACGGATAACAAGTCCAACGAGGCACTTGTGAAGAAGGCTATGACGACCAAGTATCCATCCATGCTAATTTTAATGGAGGTAGCCGAAGAGCTATCCCAGAAGAACTGCGAGCTACAGCTCCAGTGGATACGGAGAGACATCAACCAGCTAGCGGATGATCTCACCAATGAGGAGTTCAAGGAATTTGACCCCTCTCAAAGGATAGACTTGAAGGGGGAGGAATTCCAGTGGCGTGTCCTGGGCCGGCTACTCGCGCATGCCGATAGCTTCTACAAGGAGCTAGGCACGCGGAAGCGAGGGACCCCGGATAGGGTGTCGAAGTTTAGCCGGAAGTCCAGGAAGCTAGATCCCTGGTAGCCTGAGTGGCGATGCGTGGGGATGGATAGCCGAAGGCTATCGGATATCTCCAGGCGACCTGGGATAGTTGCCACTCCAGACAAAAAGTGTGTCCGTGCTAGCTGAGTGTTCTTGTCTCTCTTGGTCGTCGCTCGGCTAGCTCGCAAGCTAACTACTACTACTACTATCGTCCTGGTGGAGTACCGGGGATAGTGTTGGGATATAGAAGCTAGTGCACGTACCTCGTGACGAGGAACGAGTTACGACTATGTGTGCTAGCTAACCTATTTATACCCGAAGCTATTGAAGGTAGCTTCGTTAGAAACGAAGTTTCGGTCGCTATCGTCGCTCGCAGGGGAGTTGTCTGACATGCGAAGACGGGATAGCTGTGACTTGGAATGGCTACGTGCATTTGTGACCGTGGCCATTCTGGATAAAGTCCCCCATCAGGGGGGTAATTTTGAAGTACCCGCCCTGCCCACCCTGGGGATGGATAGCCGAAGGCTATCGGATATCTCCAGGCGACCTGGGATAGTTGCCACTCCAGACAAAAAGTGTGTCCGTGCTAGCTGAGTGTTCTTGTCTCTCTTGGTCGTCGCTCGGCAAGCTCGCAAGCTAACTACTACTACTACTACTACTACTACTACTACTACTACTACTACTACTACTACTACTACTACTACTACTACTACTACTACTACTATCGTCCTGGTGGAGTACCGGGGATGGTGGTGGGATATAGAAGCTAGTGCACAGACATCGTGCTTCATGTGAAGCCGAGCTCGGCCACAGAATGTGTATACTATCGCTCTCAGAATGGATACTACCTCACGTCTGACCCTATCGCTCCAAAATACATTCAGGCAGTGACGATTCGCGAGAGCGGTGAAAGGGTTGAGTCCACGAATGACTCCCCTCCACTCCCATCCGTGGTGCTGCAGGCCTACCTACGGCCACAATTAGGACAGGCTGGTCGACAAGCGGCCCCGGACAATTCGAAGTCTACGCATGTGCGAGCATACATGCTGCATCCCTTTCTTTCTGCAAATTACCAGGTAACCCACCAAAATGCAATGACCATGTCCTTTTGTGCCCTGCAAGACTTGGCTGGTGGCCCTACCCCCAAGCTCGACATTCAGGCGGGCCTTCTAGTGGTTGGGACTCGCTTAGGTGCACTTCTGCCTGTGATTTGGATGCCCATATCAGCTGCAACCTGCCTAACACATCACCGGGGCCCCCATCAGTCAGTACCGCTCATCACAACGTGTCGTCGGACTCGGACTTCTGGGAGGCACTAGACGAAGAATTCCCGGATGTTGATTGTGACAGCGATGATCTCCTGGATGAGACCACTCCATCGGGAGCGATTCAGGCAGTGCCGTCTGACCCACCTTATCAGCCGGTATTCCCGGGCACTCCTGTGCACAGCGTCTTGGCGCTGGTCAAGAGGTCCACACCCGAGGATAACACTGCCCAAAGCCAAGTGGAGCCGACGAGCCGGCCACAGAGGGCAGCACAACCCAGTCAAGTGGAGGGAAACCGCAAGAGAAAACGGAAGCCCCCACGACAGGAGACCCACCCGACGGCAGCCAGGCGGAGACGACCGATCGACCCGCATGCAACACAGATGACCTTCCCATGGAGCTCAGTACCGACCATCGCATCGAAGACGATATCGGTCCTACCTTGAATCCGGCCCCCTCGCAAAGGGTGCCGACAACCCGACGCCGCCCTTTTGCGGCGGCAAAAATGTTGGTCCGTGCAGGATTACGATGTGCAGGATGCTTCAGACTCTGCCAAGAGTGTCACTGTGAGCAGCTGCCAAAACAGAACGTGCTACGTACTGAAGCTTGTCCATTGAGCCGGCAGCATCGTTCTCTGACTAATAGCCATTGCAGGTCTGCACTGTCCTATCCTCGACAGATACAGCATCCTTCGCAACTTGGAGCAGCCAGAAGACCACAGGCCGAAAGGGCAAACGCATTGTTGTTTGCACACCAGTTGGCCAGCATACTACTGCGTTTCTACCTTCTGCAAATTCTTCTGTGGCTCCTCCGGAGTTCTTCTCATACTCCTTGGCGTACTACTAGACAATGCACGGGAAAATACAAACGTAGACCCCAAACCCCCAACAACACCAGGCACCATCGAGCTCTCCTGAGCCGCGTCGGTCCCAAGTCCGACGACTCTCCCAGACAGGCCAAGCAAACAACATGCACATACAATGGGGAGAGGGAGGTGAGGGTTCCCTCTGGGCCCCCCACAGAGGGAAGACCACATCACGTTCTCAAAACGTGCTCTTCCCATGGTGGGAAGACGGTGGGCGGCGCGACCAAACACCGGACTACTGCGAAAGCGGGCAAACATGCACCGCGTCCTGACAGTCACAGAAGCTATGGCAAAGGGTTGATTGCCAACGGAACAGGGAAGGCCACCATTGGCCCCCTTCGCCCCTACCAGCTGGGTATTTTTGGACGTGTACTGCTCTTACTGCTCTTACTTCAGCCAGTGCAAGCAGTCACAAACAGAGTCAACGACGAAAACGCCCGGCTCCCGGGGTCAAAAAGGGCCATTGAAGGGCCAAACAGCGTGCACAAACCCAGGGCTTCACATGGTATAAGGGGCGCCGCATTACGGCCCCCAACCTTGCGGATGTAGTACTCCGCCAGGCAAGGAGACCAACCACTGAATCCAACACCACCAGAGGTAATCGAGCTGGGCAACGTAATGTTGAGAGACTAAGTATACTGTCCTTGAATGTTGGTTCCCTCTCGACCTTGCTTTGGCATGAGCTAAAGGAGTACCTTGTGCAGGCTCAGGCCGACGTTATATGTCTCCAGGAGACACACTGGTCCACGACCTCAGACTTTGTTGTCCAGGGGTGGCGGGCAATTCACTCGGGCACTAAGGCCAGAGCCGATGGCGTTCTCACACTCGTTCACCCGCGACACAACAAGCATGTGGTGAGGCACGAGGAGATTGCACCAGGCCGGGCACTTCGAGTTCAGATTCAAGCCACACAGGGACGAATTGAGGTCTACAACTGCTACCAGCATCCACATAACTTCACTTGCTCTCCCGAATTGCTGCGGGAGAAACGACACGCTTTCCTTAGCAAGGTCACCCGATCCATCACTGGTATCCCCCTAAGAGCCACTCTTATAGTAGCGGGTGACTTCCAGGCTGAGGCAAAACCCTCCCCGCCTCATGTAGGACGCTCAACATGTAACACCCCCTTCCATGTGGGCCCTGAGGCCCTGACCCAGATGCATTGGGGCTGTTCCTGGAGACCAATGGATTGGTGGCATTAAACACCTGGCATGGCGTTGCGAAACCCACTCAATTCAATCAAGCTCCCCAAAACCAGGTGGGTACGAGCCAGATCGATTACATCATGACACGAAATGTGACGGCTGACTCTAGAGCCAAATTTGTTAAGGTGGCTAAGCCGCCGATTGGCACGTGGCGCCTACACATAGGCCACTACAGCCTTGCAACGGACATCAGAATCATGAATCATCACCTGCTTCCTAATCGCCGTCCGGCGCAGCCGGCATATAATAAAAAAGATCTTGATGAAGCCGTCCGCAAAGACACCGAACAGGCCCGGCAATTGGCACTTGAAATCAAGTCTAGGGTAGAGCTCCTCCCACAGGACTCCCCTCACTTGAATCAGGCAATCATGCAAGCCTGCTGCCATGTTTTTCCACCCGCGGCAAAGTCCCCCTACAAATCAAACCCGGCCATCCTTCACTGCTTGGAGAGCTACTGTTCGTTATCGCATGGCCGCCAAACTTGCACAAAAACAGTGCTATGCTGATAAGCGAAACGCCACACTCGCTCTCCTTGGTCAGGCCGAGGCTGCGGCCACCAGTGGGGACCAACGAAAGGTCTATCAGGTGGTCAAACAACTGGCGCCATGGGCCCCTCGCACTAGGGTTATGCTCAAGGACGAGAAGGGGACACTCCTCACTCAGAAGCAAGAACACGAATCACTGGTTAGCTATAGCAAAGGTCTCTTTGCCCCCAAACAAGAACAGCCCCCAAGAGAAGGTGAAATTCTCCCCCTCATTTTCACAATGGAGGAGGTTTATGGACAGCTCAAAATTACCAGCGTGGGCAAAGCGGTCCCCCCAGGGGTTGCACCGACCGCAGCATGGAAAGTGGGAGCCGCGTCTATCGCCCCCCTACTCCAACTCACAATGGAACAGCGAATCCCTCAGGTACGCAGCTTACTACTTGCTTGTTGACGGCGGGTGCTTGTTTCACAATATGTTCAAGGCGCAGGCGTGTATATGCTCAGGCATGGCCCCTGCAACAGAAGACACGCACAAATCAAGAGTGAGAGAATGTACAGACTAAGCATTTTTACAGTATGACGATGATGATGCTTCGTTCGTCCGTGAAAACATATAGGGTCCGGTCGCTGTGCACTCCCCCGTATCTTCGGGGGTTATGAGCCCAAGCAGCTCGTAACCGGATCCTGTTTGAGCCATGGCACACCAAGATGATGGCACTAACACTGCTGATCACGACGATGCGCTAGCACAAGCTATGGATGAAGAGTTCGAGGAAGCAAGAGATGGCAACACGTCTGTTTCACCTGAAGATGAGAGAAGTCAACGCCTGTTTCCGGACAGCGAGCCGCTAGATCCACCGTATGGTTTGCGAGCGACTGGGGCATCTTTAGAGTTTGGTCTGGATGCTGCAGCACTTGGGTTGCTGGATGGGGGCTCGGGTAGCTCAACAGAACAGACGGCAACAAGACACTTCAGTCCTCAGAGTGATCATGAGTTGATTCCAGCCACAGAAGAGCCACGATCAGTGGCCGCAGGCAGGATGCCTCAAGTTACGGCGCCGCCACCAGCGGTGACGAATGATCTCATGGGACAGTTGAGTGCTATGCTACAGCAGACGCTGCAGAGCCATGTGGCTCCTGCTCTAGATCGTATGATGATGAGTCAGGCTGCGGTCATGTCCCGACTGGACAGGTTGGAGAGTGAGAGAGACTCCCAAGTGCCGTTGACGGCGCAAGGCGAGCATGTATTGGCCATGCTTCAGTCGTTGGAGGTGGGCTCCAAGCCAAGTGCTAGTGGGGCTAATGCAGATGCAGCGTTGAAGCAACCCACTACCGTTCCAGCGGGTGTTTTGCCTGAGTCAGCGGTTGGGGTTCAGGATACTTGTTTGCATCATGCGCGGGATTTGGCATCCAAGGGCAATGGTTCCGCTCACGTTCAGGCCCCAACGCATCAAAACAAGGGTGTGACGGTGGTGGAGGGTATCTCTTACGACTGGCAGATGACGCCGGATGGTCTTAAACTCACGCGTGTGCAAGAGAGAGAGAGGGGCAGAGAGAGTGGCAGTTGCACAGTCAGCCAGGTGCTTGATCAAAGGTCGATGTCTCCATTTCAGGCTACGTCCGTACATCATGAGGTCGTTACTCCTAACATTCGGAGGGTACACACCACTAGCCCGCCCAGGAGTAGAAGCACCCCAAAGCAAAGGAACACCCCAGCTGTACGAGCCGAAATCAGTGCTGAAAGGGATCGGGGTTGTAAGGGAGTTTCTACTCCAGGTAACGATCAGGCTGTAGGCAGACTGCCGTATCCGATATCGCCAGGTGGTACAGTGATTAGGCCACCACCCCCGCCACAGCATCAGACACAGGATCATTGGACAGGCAGTTGGGAGACACTTGGACCTAAGGCATGGGGGGCTCACCCACCTCCCCCACCCATCCCTGCTGCGTTGAGGACCACGGGTAGTACAGGACAGCAAGCAAGCATGGGTTGGGGTGGTTTCGGGTTGGGGAGCTCAGGCGGTGAGGCTTCAGGGATCAGGGGTTTCGGATTGGATCCCTCGCCGGGAATCGGCGAGAAGCCGGAGGAGCCTACCAAAACCTCGCTGGAGCTTCCTAAATTGGACAAATACAACCCATCCACATCAGCCATCGTAGCAGGGGATTGGCTTATCTCGTTGACGCCAGTGATTACTTCGCTGTCCGCTTCTGCTTGGGTGTTTTGGGAGGACTGTGTAAGCACGGCCAAGCTGTTCTATGGCCGATGGTTATCCTCTTCCCCACTGGAGAGACTACATATCCAGGCGGAGGTCTTGGTAAACAGGTACCGCGATGGAAAGTTCTCGAGGGTTGATCAACGGGCGGTCAGTTTGTTGTTGGCTGCAGTGGGTAATGAGCTGAAGGATGATCTGATCTCTCTTCGCTTGCTGGGTACATGCGCTATTGTGTTCAAGGTTATGGCGAAATATCAACCGGGAGGAGCTGCAGAGAAACAGCAACTTCTGTCGTTTCTAGTCACCCCTGAAAACGTCACCACAAGCGCTGCATCAGTTAAAGCACTGCGGAAATGGCGTCGTTGGTTAGCCCGTGCTCGTGAACTCCAGGTAATCGTTCCTGACCCTAGCCTTCAGCTCAAGGGTCTTGAAAGGCTCGCCCCGACATTGTCCGATACAGCAGCCTTCCGAGTACAAACCTTCCGAACGCAGGCTCTGCTCGACCAGGCTCCAACTCAACAGACGGTTTTGCAGTTTTCAGAGCTCCTGCTTGCAGAGGCCGAGGAGGCGGTGTTGTCAGAAGCTGCAGACAAGGGTGGAGCGAGGCAGACGGTAGCTAAGGCGGATGAGGTGCCAGGAAAGGGAGGAAAGGTTGGGAAGGAAGGAAAGGGTGCATCAAAGGGGGCTGCCAAGGTGGATGGTGTAAAACAACTTTGTCGGCTCTGGAGAACCGATGACGGGTGTAGGTATGGGAAGTCTTGTACGTTTGCGCATGATGCCCTCACCCCTGCCGATAAGAGGTGTTTCAACTGCAGTAGCACAAAGCACCGAAAGCCAGATTGTCCGTTCCCGCGTGCGCAAGCCGAGCCCGGTGGGAAGCCAGGGAAAGGTAGCCAAAAGGGGAAATCAGGGGATGAGGTTATGAAGGCTCAGGATAAGGGGGCTAGTGAAACCGACAAGTCGGCTCGTGACGAGCTGATTGCACGGGCCAACGCGGTGTTGGAATCTATTCAAACCTCAATCAAGGCCTTGCAGCTAGGTTCGAAATACCCGCCGAAGCCAGGTCCCCGCGATGAAACAGGTCTGATAGACTCCGGTGCCACAACATGCATGCGCATGCGTAGGGAAGATGAGCAGCCAGTTGGAGAGAAGACGGTTTCGCTCGCGCAGGGAGAAGTTCAGATGGGATTCAGTGCCGGGGGAGTTTTACTTGCTAACGAAGAAGTTGAACCCATCGTTTCACTCCGACAGCTCATCACCATCGGCTTTCGTCTGGTTTGGTCCAAGAGGGCATGTCAACTGTTCGATGAAGAGGGTTACTCGGTTCCTTTGTCCACGGCTTCCGGCTGTCCGAGGGTGTGTAAGGCTGTAGCGCAAAACCTGATTGACCGCATCGAAACTTTCAACCTTCACGGGTATGGTGAAGATCAGCTTGCTATGATGCGTGATGCTGATGCGGTGTCCTGGGAGGCAGTCATGTGTAAAGTAGCCGAGAGTGTGAGAGAAGGTAGGTCAAGGGATGCTAAAATGTGGCATGAGATTTTATGTGAGAAGCTCTTTCCGGAATTCCCACGAGAGGCTGCCCAAGCAGTGTCTTTGATCTCACAGGGGTCTGGGCCCCCAGGTGCCTTCAATCGTAGGAGGCGCAGGGCAGCAGAGCGTTCCAAGGGTATAGTTCTGCATCTTTTCTGTGGAAGATCGAGGCATGAGTTTGACGCGGTAGCCGCGAAGCATGGGGCTAAGGTTGTAGCCATAGACTCCACTGAAGACCTTAACGATCCGGCTACGTACACATACTTGCTGAAGCAGGCGCTCGCTGGTAAGGTTGTTGCGGTGCTTTCAGGTCTTCCGGATAGGACTCGCTCAGCCCTTGGAGGTAAGGATGAAGGACCACCAGTGGTTCGGGCGCGGTATGGGGTTGAAAGGTTTGGATTGGAGAACCTCTCCCATCAAGAGCGTGAGAAGGTTGACTATGACGACCAGCTCATGCTCAGAAGCTTTATTCTGGGTGTTGCCTCAAAGTGGGGTCGGGATCAGATCCAAGTCGGACGAATGGCGGGTTTCCCGTATCTCCTGGAGAACCCAAGGGACCCTTGGGAAGTTTTTGGGGGTAGCCACGAGCAGGCTCCTTCGTTGTGGGTAACGCCAGAGTTTGATACATTGCGGAAGACACTGGGGCTACAGCTTCTGAGGCTTGATCAAGGCCCCCTGGGGCACATGTGTAGAAGGCCTACCACAGTAGCATGTCTCGAACGGTTATGGCCGAACTGGGCTATGAACATCCGAGGTCCGGGACACAACCGGGATACATCGGGGTGTAGTGCAGATCAGGCACGCTGGTCTCCAGGGTTAGTTCAAGCAGTAGAAGAGTACCTGGATGCTGCTCTTCAACAGGGGCCCACCGTAGAAGGTATGCGGAGGCTTCAGGTACAGCAATCCATGAAGGACCACGTGTTAGCTGGACATGTCCCCTACCGTAAGGACTGCTACGCGTGTGTAGCGGGAAGAGCGAAGAAACAGAATCATTACAGACAGACGGTGAGCGATTCGTTTGTGCTGTCGGTTGATCTCGCAGGACCTTTTAAGCGCGGTACTCATGAGGGTGCGAAGGCAAGCTACTTCCTTGCGGCAGTTTTCTCCGTACCTAGGGCGCCAGAGCTAAACGGGTCTAGAGTGGATAAGCCTGAGGCAGATGTAGCAGCTGTTCCGGGGGAGCCAGGGGAGTGGGAGAATGCGGATGACGACGATCGTGATGACGATGATGGTGGAGGCGTGGGCCCTATTGAGCTTGATGACGCCCCGGTGGAGCCAGAGCCACAACCGCTAGAACAGCTAGAGCTAGTTCACTTGCCGTTCGTCGTACCGTTACCCTCAAAAGGGGCAAGGGACGTGATGAATGGAATCAAGGGCATTGAGGCCAGGCTGTGTGCGATGGGGTGCCATGTAGCACGGTTACATAGTGATGCAGGTAAAGAGTTCTGCAATAACATGTTGCGAACATGGGCCAAAGAGAGAGGAATGCACAAAACAAACACAGGAGGTGACCGGTTCAAGGCCAATCCTTTTGCCGAGAACCTCATCGGCATCCTGAAGGGGTGTGCTAGGACCTTGATGAAAGAGTCTGATGTTAGTGATCAAGATTGGCCCTATGCTATCCGTCATGCATGCGCTCAGCGATTCCGCGATCAGGCTGTCAAGCTTGGGTGGGACATTCCGCGGTTGATTCCTTTTGGGGCTAAGGTTCACGTGCTTCAAAGAAGTTGGAATTTGGCAAGGGGGGGCGATTGGAAGTCGAGAGTGGTTGAGGCTAAGGTGTTGGCACCTGCGCGTGAGCTTTCGGCAGGGTATCTTGTGCGCACTGTAGAGGACACATTACTGAACGTACCATGCGTGTATGAAGACCTTGTGCATACAAACCCTGAAGAGTTTCACATCCCCGCCGAGAAAGCAAAGCCAGCTAGTCCAGCAGTGATCCCAGATGTTCGTGTTCGCAGAAAGACGTCGTTGAGCGCTCGGAGGGCAGAGAAACCGGCTGCTGATGAATCTGTTGCTATGCTTGATGGGCTGTTGTCTGAAGATGAGCACGCGTCATGTCTCGCCTCGATCGAGCCGTTCGATGTCGAGAGGTCTCGAAGGTTCGTGTTAGGATCGCGCTGGATTCGGGATTCTTCAGGACGGCTTGGGGCGAGGTTTCGTGAAAATGCTGGGTCCGCTAGGGTCCTAGGATTTTATTGTCATGGTGGCATTGTTGGGTTGACCAAAGATTGCTTATCCTTCCCAGGGTTTACCAAACTACTCAACCGTCTTGTGCAGCATGTGATACCTGGACATGTGTGTACCACACTTGCGATCCTCAGTCAGACCACAGCAAAGCCGCACAAAGACAAGTTCAACCAACCGACCTCCAACGCTGTCATACCCCTTGAGGTTCCCAATAAGGGGGGAGGGATTTGGGTGCAGGATGAAAGCGGGGCTGATCGGAGGTGGGTCACGCCCAAGCAACAAGCACCAGGCACTGTTCATGACCTCACTCCCCTATGTCCCTTCCTTTTGAACCCTCACAAGTGGCATGCTACAGAAGACTGGAGTGAAGGGTCACGCATTTTGCTGGTAGCTTACAGCTTGAAGGGTCTTGAGAGAGTCACTGAGCAGCAGCTTCAGCGGTTGCGTGATGTCGGATTCCAGCTGACTGCTGGCGATTGCCAGCAGGGGGGAGACCTAGAGCAACGCATTGAAGAAAACGTTTTCAAAGCCCCAGAGCAGGTTCTCCAAGGATCCGATGAAACAGCTTCAGAGTGTCATGATGTTCGCGCTCCGAGGGTGAGGGATCTTCAGAAAGAAGAGATGCGATCAGGGCTAACGCTTGTCCAACGGCGAAGGCTCACAAATCAGCTGAAAGCCGGTGATATCGTTGCTGTCCCAGCTATGTATGCTAGATACGGTGATGAGGAAGGGTCTTTCTCGAGTTTGGTGCGGAATCAGAATGCTCCGGATCCCTACCCATGGTTAGACCCAGCGAATGCAGGGAAGTTCGCAGCTGCGGGTGAAAGTCGTCGGCGAGATGAGGGTCGTAGTGATGCTCAGTGGCGAGATGAGGGTCGTAGTGATGCTCAGTGTCGAGATGAGGGTCGTAGTGATGCTCAGTGTTGTGATGAGGGTCGTGGTGAGACTCCATGTCGTGATGAGGGTCGTGGTGATGCTCAGTGTCGTAATGAGGGTCGTGGTGAGACTCCATGTCGTGAGGAGGGTCGTGGTGAGACTCAGTGTCGTGAGGAGGGTCGTGGTGATTCTCCGTGTTTTGATGGCCGTCGTGGTGACTCTTCGTGTGATCGTGATGACACCAGAGAGACAGAGGTTGAAAGCCAGGGCATCTTGAAGGGTGTAGGAAAGTTGAAACAGAAGTGTGTGCATTGGGCGCCAGGTCTAGTTGAGGGTCCAGTGGTTTCGAGTGGTACAAGTGGGTTTTCCGGTAGGTCCTTCAGGTGCAAGGCGTGTGAAAGTGATGTAGCTGGACTTTGCTCAATCTGTGAAAGACATGTTGTTGAGTATGCAGAGAGCGATTTAAAGGCTCCGCCTTCCCTTGGCCGGCCAGGCAGCGCTGGGTGGGAGGATGTGAGCTGTGACCCACTTGGGGTGGGTGCGCGTGTGGGGCATAAGGGTGGTCTAAACCCTCTGAATGCCGATTTTTCCGAGGATTGCGAGTTGGTGGACGTGTCCGTGACGAGTAATCTTCTGTTTTGTGAGCCTACTTGTGTCGAGTGGGAGAGCATTGTAGGTCGAGCTTCGGATCGTGAGGTTGGACCTGATGATCATGATAGCTCGGGTGAAACTTGGGTTGGGGTCGGTGAGGCCTCTGAGTCTTTTGACCCTGATGGGCAGCAGATCGCCCTCAAGGCGTTGCTGAGTCGGGAGTGTAAGCTCCAAGATCGGAGTGGGGTAGCCGGGGATAGTGACCGTGAGGGTTATATTCATGGGCTGTCTTCCACGATCAAGCGTTTAGAAGAGAGGTGTTGCAAGGCCGATGACGGTGTCGAGTATTCCACGCTCCCCGATGCGGAAGTGCTAACTACTCACACTGTTCCGTTGGAAGAAGTTGAGAGGCATTACAGTTTGTGGTCCGCGGCAGTCCAGGCAGAACTTGATTCGTTGGTTCATGAAAAGCAGGCGGTAAGGGTGATCACCAGCGCTGAAATGCAAGCAATGCAAGAAAAGGGAACATGCGTGACCATTATTCCTAGCAAGATGGTGTTTACCCGAAAGGCTGGTGGGCGCCATAAGGCACGGTTGGTAGCCTGTGGAAATCATCTAGATGGGCAGGGCCAGGCTAAGGGTAAGCAGTCACCATCCAAGGCAAACCTGTATGCTGGAGGAATCGACCCTTCAGTGATGCGCCAAGCGGCATCGATTGCGGTTAAGAGAGCCTGGAAGGGGGGAGCTACAGATATCACTACAGCGTTTTTGAACGCCGAGCTGCTTGATCGAGTGAATCCTCGTTCCTCCCCACCTCCTTTGTCCTTGGATGTCCCAACTGAGGTGATTGTATTGAAGATTCCGAGCATTGTGCATAGACATGGACATGTTGATCGATCATGCTTCATGCTGGTGTGTAAGGCACTGTATGGGTTGGATCAATCCCCAAGAGACTGGTCTATCAAGAGGGACAGTGAGATTGAGGGCATGTCATGCCAAGTCGATGGGGTCACATGCATGTTTGAGCAGAGTTTGGTCGACTCTAATTTGTGGTACCTTCGGAGAGTGCCTAAAGATGGAGAGAGCCACAGTTGGAGAGAGCCTGTTGCATGCATGTTGGTGTATGTCGATGATCTCTTAGCCTTTGGTCCCAGTCCAGTCTTGACGATGATATTCGAGCTGATCACTTCGCGCTGGAAGTGCGGACCGGTAGAGTGGATCCCCGAGGACCCCACTAAACCCCCACTCAAGTTCTTTGGTTTTGAGCTGCGCTGGGATGGTAAGGATCTGTTGCTTGGCCAACAAGACTTCATTCGGGATGTGGCGACTAGGTACCCCGAGGCAACTGCCTCGTGCGTTCCTGCTACCCCGGGACCCTTGGATGTAGAGGATGCTTCCGAGCGTAGGCCCGAAGATGTTTCTGCTTGCCAAACGGCGCTGGGCGAAATCTTATGGGTTGCAGGGCGCACTCGGCCAGACATTATTTTCGCTGTTTCCCGCCTTGCACAGACCATGTCAAGGGACCCCGCTACGGTGAGAAAGAGAGTCATGCAGCTCATTGGTTACCTTGTCTACACGCAGGACCTTTGCCTCCGATATCGGGCTACGTATTCTTGTCAGGGTGAACCAGGCGCTACTGCCACCCCGAACGCTGAAGGTGTGATCGAGGCCATGACAGACAGTGCATTCGCGCCTGTATGTGAGCGATCGCAAGAGTCAACTTTGGTTTACACTCAAGGGTCTCTGACGGGGTGGAACACTGGTAGACAACCGTTCACTGCTGCGTCGACCGCGGAGTCAGAACTCTTGAGTTTGATGACCGGATTCAGCTTCGGTAGGGCCCAAACTTACGTCCTTCAGGAGTTTATGGGTAAGGTGCCACGGTTGGTCGTGTTGAACGACAACATGGCTTCAATCTCTATTGTAAATGGCGACTCCAACGGGTGGAGAAGTAGGCACCTGAGAATTCGAGCACATGTGCTGAGAGAACAGGCCAAGCAAGGACATGTCGTCGTGGGGCACATAGAGGGGGCGAAAAACATCGCCGATGCAGGAACCAAGGCCTTGCCGTATCCTCGTTTGAAGCTTTTGCGGGACGGTATGGGTTTAGATGCAGTTAGGAATGTTCATGATGCGCGCCCAAAAGGAGCTACGAAGGTCATTGATCCAGCTTCCGCAGCCAAGATTCAGGCCGTTGTGCTTACATTGGCAGCCGTCACGGCAGAGGCTCAGCAATCGCCAGATGAACCAGAAGGTCACAGCCATGAGCTATGGTTTTTGATGTTTCTGGTATGCTGTACGTCTATTGCTCTTTGGGAAGGTCTGAAGTGGGCATGTCGTTGGTGTTGTAGGCGACGCAGAGTACAGAGGAGAGAGGTTGAGCGACATGAACCAGAAGAGGAGCGTAGCTCAGATGGGGAAAATCAGCCTGATGATGAGGACGAACTTCAGGAGTTCTCGCCTCAGGCAGCGGACAGGGTAGAGGATCATGATGTAGCTCGTGAGCTTACTGTGCCTCCTGAGGGGACGGTCGTTCGTTACGTTGACGATGTGATGTATGTTGGCCCCCCTCCAGAAGAAGAAGAAGAGAGGTTGAGAAGAAGAAGACAGGGACAGAGAGTCTACCATGATGAGCCGGACTTTGAGCCAGCTGCTGTTGAAGCCTCCGGCCTACCGCCTTGGAATGTTCAAAACCGGGTTCGTCAGGCTCTTGAGGCTCAACGAGACGCGAGGGGTTCGAATGAAGGCCCAAACTGGATGCCAAATCAGTTTGTGAATTACCCGGTCATTCGGCTGCGTGCCGATTGGCCTGCATCAGAAAACCAACCTCCACTGGCATACTTGGCTGCTTACCAGTCCGCTTGGGGTGGGTTAGCTTCAGCGCTGCATCAGCTGCGGCCCAATGATGCTTACACGCGGGACGAGTACACAAGGCATGACGCGAGACAGAATGTGTTGATTCGTTGGCACTTCGGATGGCGTGTTATGCTGTTTGATCCCAATCGCACTACAAGTCCGGTTGCTATGAGCAGACTCACAGGAAGGAGACGTACGGTGATCACATACAGTGATGGTACAGAGGAGCTGCTGGACGACAATTTCCGGATTGACAGTGCGAGAAGGATGATGGATCAACAGTGGGTAGGAAGAACCGAGCTCGAGATCCGCGAGGGGACATGAGCAGCGCAGTGGAGGAATGGCATATGAACCGTTTTTGAAGCTAGAGAGCTTGCTCCAAGCTTTGCGGTCAGAAGGAATGCACCATGTACAGACACCGTCGAAGGGATGAAATTTTCATCCGGGGGAGAGCGAATCCCTCAGGTACGCAGCTTACTACTTGCTTGTTGACGGCGGGTGCTTGTTTCACAATATGTTCAAGGCGCAGGCGTGTATATGCTCAGGCATGGCCCCTGCAACAGAAGACACGCACAAATCAAGAGTGAGAGAATGTACAGACTAAGCATTTTTACAGTATGACGATGATGATGCTTCGTTCGTCCGTGAAAACATATAGGGTCCGGTCGCTGTGCACTCCCCCGTATCTTCGGGGGAACAATATGCACAAACTAACGCCACCCTCCCTCCCAGGTGGACTGATGCATGGATCATCTGGCTTCCAAAGCCGGGTAAGGCGCCGTCTCATCCCTCGGCCCTACGTCCTATAGGACTGATGAGCCCCGAAGCTAAAATTCTTGCAGCCCTCATCAAGGAAAAGTTGTATGCAGTCATTCGGCCCCAGCTGCAGTGGGTGCCGCAATACGCGTACCAGCCCAACCGTGATATCCTTGATGCACTGGCCAGAGTACATTCTTGGATGAAACTATTCGGACAAACTCTAGATAAAGCCGGTACCGGCAGATTTGCCATGAAGGCCCGTGAAGACGATGGAACCCAAAAAGACCTGTGTGTTGGAGGAGCCATCCTCAGCCTTGATCTCAAACAGGCATTTGACCGTGTTGAACGACACGCGCTGGCCTCCTCCCTCAAGAGGCTTGGAGCCCCGACAACCTCATCGCGGCGGTAATAGCCCTGCATGATACGTCGTCATATCACATCCATGACGATTTCCACGAAACCACGGTTAGCACCAAGCGCGGAATACGTCAAGGGTGTCGCATAGCGCCCCTCCTTTGGGTGGCGATATCCACCGCGATCCTGTACGAATTAAGGGGTGCCCTTTCGGGCCCCAAACGCCAGGGAACGACGTTTGCCGATGATACCTTATGCCAATGGCTCATCGAGCAGGAAAGTGACGTCCATCAGTTGGCTGCCCTCCTGGCACAAGTGCTCAAGGTTATGGAAGCGCTAGGCCTTCATGTTAACCTTGCTAAGACCGCACTGCTTCTTAAAGTCAGGGGCCCCGGTGCGAAACGGGCGCTCAAACAGTACATAGTCCGCAAAGAAGGCAAACAGCACTGGCAAGTGGAGACCGAGTCCGGCCCCGCCTACATACCACTAGCAAAGTCGGTTATCTACCTAGGCACCCACCTGGAGCTGGGCGCGTGCGCCCTCCCCAACACTCGTCACCGCATCAAGGAAGCAAAAGGCCGAGAGGCCAAGCTTCATAGATCCACCCGCTCACGCCGGATTTTCAGCCTCACCCATCGACTTAGGATCTGGACTGCGTGTGCAGTCTCGAGCGCAACGTATGGTCTGCTCCCAGTGGGCATGACATATGCTGCGGCAACCAAGCTTCGCAACTGGTTTTACAGGCAACTTCGAGCGGTGGTGAACTCTCCGGCCCACCTCACACATGAGAGCAACTCCGCTCTTTGCGCCAAATTCCATATCAGCGACCCAATTGATTCTCTTTACCACGCCATACAGCGAAAAATTGAGAAACTTCAACACAAACCTGCTGATATCACGAACACAACTGACATCATGACATTCTGGCAGGACGCTGCCAAGGAATTTAAGCAGGTTACCACTCTGGAACTGCCTTCGCAGACTCTTGTTCCGGCTGAACCGACCACCACCGGCCTGGCCTGCCCTGAATGCGGCCTCTACTTCCCGTCGACGAAGACCCTCAGACAGCATCGTGCTCAAAAACACAAACAAAAAGTCAGCATCGATGCGGAAGAGGAGCGTAGGTACAAGCAACATGAGCACTGCATACAAGGCATGCCTCAATGCCCGTACTGCCACAAGCACCTCCAACACATCCTCACTTACGCCTGCAGAACAAAACCTACAGACGATGTTAGGCAACCACATCCTACGGAACCAGACAGGGAGCCGTCTCCGGCCCCTGATCACAAAGCCCCAGAAGACAACCCCGACACTCAGGTTACCCTGCTCTACGACCAAGCCATGGATAGGACCACTCAGGGACAACCTGCTACACCACTCAGCAGGGAACAACAGGCTGATACACCCATTTTGCGTACGCCGGTAGCTGTCGCCCTACTTAAGCAACCCCCTGTCCCACTCCACAGACTCGCTGAATGGGCTCCGCTCCTACATGCACACTGTGGTTTTTGTGGGCAATGGATAGCAAAGCAGGGATCAGTTAAGGAGCACATCAAGCGTATGCATCCTGAAATCTGGGATGCAGGACTCGAAAATTTCACTAGAAACTGCGAAGAATATCGAGATCTCATCCACCGAGATCATGACTGTGAGCTCTGCCAGCAAAAGGTATACTCAGCCGATCGCCATATTCGAAGCTGTGTGGTAATCTTCCAGGTGGCACTTGCCAGTGCCTGGTGTCAGGCAGGACAGCCTGAAACCTCCACCCAACCCACTATCTCGCCAGACCACTTCACCCCTGCCAAAGTACGCGACTTGCTACAGGACACCACGGCCCCCCCCACTGGGGCCGACAGGCCTCTAATGCAATTTCTTGAACGACACTGACTGTGGTTTCTGTGCAACCCCTGTAACAAATCAGCAGGATTGGCGACGACATATGACCAAGACCCACCAGGACATATGGTGCGCCCCTCAGTTACAGGATCGTGTCGCTGCGGACATCAAAGCCACCGTCCTCTCCAGGCCTTGCAGGTTTTGCAGGGACACCTATACCAAGACTCCGAAGGTTCATGCAGGTAGGTGCCTCCCTCTCCTTCAACTTAGAGTCCTGCAGAGCCATGGCAGAAAACAATGCCCTGGCCCAGATCTCGCAACTGTGGGGAGCGAACTCCCCCATGGAGAAAATGGACGAGGACGACTTCGACGACGACGAGCTGGTGACCACACCCAGAGCCAAAGCGCAACGACTGAACGGCAAAGGAGGGGGAAGACCAGACCAGAAGCGAGCCCGAGAAAGGGAGCTGAGGTCGGCCCCATCAGCGAGGCCGCCCCCGAGTGCGCAAATCCTGGCCCTAGCAAAGATCATGGCGAGACACGAGACAGCCTTACAGCAGCTGGAAGCCGATCGCTCTTGGATTATGTTCATGGACACCGGGGACCTGGGGATCACCCAGCAACTGCTCAAGACGACCCACACATGGAGAAAGAGCCGAGCACAGGGCACGTGCGACTGCGGCCTACGTCAGGCCCTGATGGGTGCACTGGTGATGGAGTTGGAGGGCGGCCAGTATGGTGAAGCTGGGCACAGACAAGGAGGCTCAATCCAAGCTGATTGCGACGGGACTACTGGCAGCCAACCCTCTACGATGGTCGTACACCAAGTGGGACGTGGAGAAGCAAACTCATGTGCCTACAGACAGGGAGCCCCTGGCACACGATCGGGCCCTAACCCTCATACAGGAGCTAAAGCCAGTGATGGTCAAGGAAGGCACGATGCATGCATTTCATGCAATGGGTGGTCTTCCGGAAGAGAAGTCGGAACTGAGCAAAGTCACACTGTTCAAGCTGACCATATCTCAAGAGGCCCCAGACAAGATGAAAATCCGGGAAACCCTCAGCATCATGACCGAAAACTCAGTGCTTCGACTTATCGGAGTCAGGCTACGCCCGGAACGCAGCCATCGACCGCTGCCGAAAGAACTTCTACAACTCCTGAAGACAGCAGCATGAAGAAAATACCAAAAAAGGGGAAGCCGATACCGGCCCCAGAGGATACCAGGGAGGAGGGGGAGCCCACACCGGCCCCGAGACTATATTTTCAACAGTGGACAGCTGAAACAGCTTGAGGCGCTGCCGGCAGGAATATTGCCTGAAGATTTGCAGCGTAATGACAAAAGAAGACAAAAGGCAGCATGCCATCTAGGGAAGCCGACCTCCGGCCCCCAACAGGGGAAGCTGATTCCACAGCAAGGGGAGATTCCTACCACAGGGAATAAGGGGACGCTCAGGCAATGGCTTGAGACTTCGGGGAAATCGACAGCAGCGCCATCGAGAGCTGCAAACAATCCGGCAACGGTTGCCCGCATAGATCTGGAACCGCCTCCACTGCTTGTTCTTGCCAACCCACATAACCTGTGCTATCTCAATTCCCTGGTGCAGGCCCTTATGTGGATCTACAATGCTCGGACCTCAGACCGTAACTCTCACTTTGGCGATCTTCACCAGCTCCTGAGACCCCTTCTCAATCCGAATGGATCGGTTCAGCTCTATCGGAGGAAGGCGTGGCTGGACATACTTAGGACGTGGCCCAGACTGCATCAACAACACGATGTGGCGGAATTCCTCACATTCCTTACGGATCATGCACGCCTGCCAGGCATACATGGCCAATGGGAAGCCCGATCTACGGAGGGGCCCCTTCTTCATGCTCACCAGAGAATGAGCCCTGTGCCACTTATCACATTGCCCTGTAAACCAAACAAGACCTTGCAGCAACTCATTGAGGATTGGACCTATGAGCAAGACACGGGAGAGGTCACTGCACTCGTCAGACCCCCACCGATCCTGAGCATACAGCTCATGCGATTCAGTGGAAACCTCGGAGGAGAAGTAGGTAAACTGCAGCATAGAGTTAACCTCTCCCCACGGCTGCAGGTGCCCACATTCACCGATGGTGTTCACACGGAGCCCTGCGCCTATGTGCTCAACTCGGTAGTGTACCACATCGGTTGCACTCCGAACTCAGGTCATTATCGCTCAATGGGTGTTTCGGCCCCCAAAGGGGAGCCGACTGCTGCCTTCTACAGTGAGCTTCAAAGGAGCTTCGTTGAGGATGCCGCCCATCCGGCCCTTCATGTACAGAATGATGAAACTCCGACTGTCGTAGCTAACTCTACTGACTTAAATGAGATCAGTAGGACGTGGTA